TAAACATCCTCTTCCATTGAAAAGTCCGAAGTTTCTCCAGCATAAAGAGAGCTGAAATAAAAAAATATAGTGTTTCTCATAAACGAAATACGGGGCGCGTGCAGAGAAGTTACTAAGCTGAACTGCCTGCTGAGCTAAACACAAAACAGCAACCAGCACATTCGTTTGAGCTTGAATTGATTTAGTTTTTTCTCAAGGTTATTTTCTGATGATTTAAATTAAATATTTAAATAAATTTACGAGGGCTGTTTCTTAAGTTTCTGGCATCGGTCACTTTCATCAATTGCTTTAAAAAATGTATAGAAATTTGTTTAAAATACTTAACTAGCCAGTAAAATCCAAGCAAGCCAGCCTACCAGGCAATTTTAGTGTACTCTCTGCATTCGCGCTCTCTAAGAGTTTAAAACTTACTTTACGGCTCGACTTGTAAAAAATACAATTCGTTTTAATTTTTTGTTATAAAAAAAATAGTTGAAAGACCATAAGCAACCAGGTTCTCCAAATGGGTCTGAACTTAAATCTGGATTATAGCTATATATGTCGCATTCCGATAAGTTCACCTCGTCATCAACGGCAGACCACAATGGCTGGCGCAAGACTTGATACTGATCTCCCGCTAATGCTGATAGATTTGAGTGAATAGAGTTCATGACCCACTGCAGAGATGGTTCTTTGCTAAACTCATGTGACTAAGAATATTGAAGAAACATTAGAAAACTTCATAAGCGATAAGTAGAAGTTCCTTACCTTTGCATCCGAAAAATCATAATCTGGCTCAAATGAAGCGTTTAAAGTGGCAATTAAGTAAAACAAAGTTTTGCGTGAAATAGTATCGCACAGAATGATGCCTTCGTCGCCGGATTGGCTGTTGCGACAAAAATTAGGTGAAAAGTCGGCTAATGTTTGTGGTGGCGATAGTGCCTGAAGATCGTGCCCATGGGTTTCCGCCGTAAACCGCTTATATAAAGCTTTGTCTGCTGCAACCATTTTGCTGAATAGACATAATAGGTAAGTAATATTTATATTAATTGTTGTAGTCACATACCAGGAGTAGCTTTCTATGCGTCCAAAGATTGTGACACCGCTTGTGTGTATGGAAAGCGCATTATTGATGGCTTCAAAACGGGAACTCTCTAGTAGCTTCATGATGATCAATAACTTGATGATGTAGCTTGTAGCTCCTATTTAACACTGCTTGAACAACTTATTCGCAAAAAACGTCTTAAACTGAGACAGAACTTATTGAACTTTGCGGTATATTAACATTTCTTGTTTGATATGTCTCCAATATAAGATTTCCCCAGACAGGACACGACTCAAATATTCTGAGCATGGTTTCCGGATGTTTTAACTTTATGTTTCACCTTCAAATGTATTTTTGTAGCTGAAGAAGTGAGTGCGAATTGATATATATGACACCTTGAAGTTTGAATAAAATAATTTATAAATAGTTTAAAGTTTCTTCTTGTTTTCAATATCGATTTATAGTTTTGCTTGTTGTGGATTTGTAAATTAACTTGTACACACTTTCATATACATATGTGAGTATACATATGTACATACATACACACATATGTGTGTAGATTTTTCAATGCTACTAACAATAAATGGCGTTCAAAATGTTTGTTCTTTGATTAACACTAACAATATTGATACAAAAGCAACACAAGTTTTAATTGTATAACTATGATAGAATAGACAAGTATATTATATATGTACATACAAATGTGTTTATGTGTGTATAGGAGTATATGAAAACAAACTCTTAAGATTTTTTTACAATCGTACAATGTACAATTTCAACTGCAATATTTTCAAATGAAGCAAAAGGTGCTTATTTAATTTTTTAACAGTTGTATCCACAAAACATTAATTAAAGACGTATTACGTATATGTTTGAACATATGTATACATATATTGTATATTCAACTAACATAAGACACTTTTAACTGGTTCATAAATGAACCGTTCATTAATGTGACCAGAAGATCTTTTTTTACCCTTTTGCTCCACAATTTCAGCCTATTTACACAGACATGAGTTACATAGTTGAGTTTACTCATTAACACAGAATTGGCGTTTACACTTGCACAAAGTTAAGTTAATGAGTTTTGGCTGCGCGCTTTTTCCACAAATATTGTTTAATATAATAAGTACCCAAATTATCCTAGATAAATAACAACACAGTTGCCTGATAAGTGTAACCGTCCGGAATGCAGCTTACATCTCTGGTCACACTCTGCCTCCAGCAAAATATATTGCAGTTTGAAGGTTTAAATTAAATATAAGAAACTATTTAATGCAATTGGACCTCGGAGGATGTTTATTAAGGAATTCATGCACAGACACTCACTATTGAATCGATGTTTCTCCTTGTCCATTTATTCACAGCTAAAAACGGTTATTATATGTTAAGTCTGCTGGAAAACAAAATTCAATAGGAGTACAAATGAGAAACAAAACTTTTTGGCAATAAAAATACGAAATATTAATAAAAGCCTGTATTTAAAAGTAATATATTTCACTTAAATAAACAGTTTGGAATGAAAATTTCATTTTCGGAAGAATTTTCACATACTATTTATATTGCTAGGTGTTCGCTGTTTTGTCCAGTCTCGGCTTATCCATTTGAAGACTTAAAGATGCGTACTGAAAGTAAATATATTTTAGAAACTTTAAATGTCTGGTATTTTTATGCAATATTCTTCTATACATAAAGTTCTCGAGTCACAGTGTTTGTGACTGAACTCCTAAACGGAAAGACCGATTCTTTTTAAAATTTTTGTTCTGCATTAAATAGGTCTGCCGGATTTCCCAATAGAAAATATACGGGTCCGTATGCAAACTAAGTGAGAAAATATCTGGCGAGAACAAACAAAATTATTCTAGAGTTTACCCAAGCATATTAAAAGTCTGATGAGTGGGTGCTACGCATATAGCTTCAACCGCAAACCTAATATACCTAAAGCATTAGCAAATGTTTATATTTTTTTTAATACCACATAAATACACTTATAAAAGTGTTTAAACACAGAGTCTGGATACAACATTTGCTATTTGTATTTGTGATATGCAATACATTGTGATAAGCATTTAAAAACATTCACTTACTTCGGAAAATATTGGCAAGGAGCCTTTTTTTAGCAAACTTTCGCCAAAAACGTTAGAAGTTAGGATTTTTTCCACGTTTTTACAGTCTCGAACCATTGTAAAACTTCGTGACAAACTTAGCTTCTGATAGGTTACCGAACGATTCAAAACATTGTAGAATTCATAATTTGCTGGTGGGGAGCATGAACAGTTTTTGTTAAGCCAAAACTCATCAATTAAAGAAGAAGCAATTTCAAGTGTTCGATTTAAGACATCTTTAGGTATTCTCTTGGGTGGAATTTGTCCGAGCCGGAGCTCACTCTTTGGTTTGCGTACTCCGTTTTTCATTTTATAAACAATAATAATATGCACGCTGGAAGCTAAAATAACATCGGTAGGTTAGCATTTATTGAAACATTGAATAGTAACATCGAAAAAGTCATTTGAGGAACAGTGGGAATTTTCACTGATGTGAATCTCAGATTCCCACTGGCAGCATCCACCATCCACCTTATAGGAAACAAATGACCACAATATAGGTAAGATTTGTGCGAAAAGTTTTTGTTTGGAGATGAAAATCGTTTTGAGAGACGAGGTTCTAGTATACTTACATCCTCGTCGTTTACCTGCTTTTGAGTAATAAACAATAGACGAGCCAGTGAAAGATTGCCTTGTTGATCATGTAGCCGAGTTCTTCAGAGTAAGCGTCAACCGTTTTGTTGATAGACAAAAAAAAAGGAAGAAGTCGAAGCAGGTTCTTGCCTGTTTACTTCATTTGTTAGGCAAGGTTGGCAGTATGTCGGTCTTTGGAGATCTTGTAGCTGTTATTGTTGATTTCATAGATGATTTCGTAAGACTGAGCCAAGATATTGAGAAAGGCCTTTTAAAGCTTAGAATGGTATTAGAGGTAACTGCAAGAAATGTTTTGCGTGTTTGGAGCAAATGCCAAATATTGAAGAGCAGAGTGAGGTTTTTTGCGTTACAATACTCAGGATGGACGAACCAGAACAACAGGAGCTGAGAAAGATTTTCCCAGGCCACGACTTGGAGTTTTAACGTCATATTTTAGAAAATTAGCATATATGAATATGCCGCTATTGATAGGCCTCTATCGGATTTATTACGAAAAAATTAGTCAAATTGCATTATGAAGCCATTCAGCGGCGGTCACAGGTGTTCAAATGAGAGTGAGAAGGGTGTACGAGTAAATGTTGAATTGCTTCAATGGGCCTCTATCGGATTTATTACGAAAAAATTAGTCAAATTGCATTATGAAGCAATTCAGCGGCGGTTACAGGTGTTCAAACGAGAGTAAGAGGGTGTACGAGTAAATGTTGAATTGCTTCAATGGGAATGGAGCGAGTTAGCCGTTTAAGTTTATTTTCGATAGAGTACAAGTATAGTATGAGGGATTTTCTAAATTTACAAAAATAATACATGACTTTTTTTTTCTTTGAAAGCTAGAAAAGTACGGTATTAATTGTTATAAAATTTAATCAATTTTTGTTTTAATTTTGACAATGGAATGGTTATTTTTGTTATTAATTATTTTTCGCTAAAAAACGGGGCGCCGACGGAATCGGAGCCCCTTTCGCGCCATCTCTCTGCACCTCGAGAGAACCCCCAGAATATTTTAATACTAAGATTTAACTGATTTGTTTCAATTGAACGACAAAAGAACAGGTAACGATAAAGCAGGAACGCCGGTTTTATGTTTTGTAAACATCTTAGTCGAACCGAGATATTAATACTTGAGTACTGTGTATATAGCACAATCTAAAGCTTTCAAAAGTATAGTTAATGTCAAAAGAAAACGTTTCCTAAAATACACCAATAAAATATATTAAAATCGGAATCTCTGGATTCATAATTGCTTTTCACGTTGTAATGTAATAACCACAAAACAAGTATTTGAATATTTAAAAATCTATTGAAATGTTTTCGACGTAACAAAGCAATATATTCGTTTACGATTAAATTCAAAATTGTCACGACCTTTGAAGTTGTCTATTCCTTAGCTATGAATCTGTGAATAGTTAAAACTAATCTATTTACATGTTTTCTTATTAATTTTTACTCGGCTGGAACCATATTTTGATCTACGTCAGGTTTTGTATCATCCGGATCCAAGCTTAAACACTCTGCAAAATAATGCTCCATGGATGAATATACATGCTCAAGTACTCCATTTAAGTCATGACCTTCATCAGCATAGGTCTGAAATTGATGTATATTTTAGCAAAAATAAATAAAAATGAATATGTTTGAAAATTTACCTGGTACCGATATAGAATATTTGCGTCTGTTAAAGATTTAGCTAGCTGCACTCCATGTACATAAGGAGCAGTTGAGTCGGCCAAGCCATGAATTAAAAAAAAAGAGTTTGATTTTATGAGACGAGCACGCTGCGTAGCATCAGCTTCAACGTATCCCTTATAGTTTTCAGCAGGCAATCCGAGAACACGCTCAGTAAAAGCTGAATCTAATTAGATAATGTTTTATAGTGCTTTGGTCTGTATATTATCATATAGTTTCTTACTGTAATAAAGCCAATCTGCTATAGGGGATACAGAAATTCCACATTTAAATACATCCTGTTGCGTGCCAAGAACCATGGAGGTAACGTAGCCCCCATATCCCCAGCCCCAAATGCCGACTCGTGTTTCATCCAGAAAACTGATGGTATCTAACAGGTATCTTTAATTAAAGAAAATAATGTACAATTTTGATTACATATTTTTATCAGATACGAACCTTAGGACAGATATCTGATCGACAACTTCCACTCCTCCCAAATGGCGATAAAGCGACTTCTTGCTTTGCCCTTTTGCGCCTCTCACATCCAGTCGGACATAAATAACATCATTTCTTGATGACATATATGTTCCCCAATCTATTCTAAACTTTTCGGAAACTGACATTGAGCCGGGTCGACCATTTCTAAAAAATAAATAAAAGTATTTTAAGCTCAACTCTAAAATAAGATTAAGATTATACTTATATATTTTTTAAACCAGAATAGTCGGAAACGTTTCCTTCTGTGCGTTACATACAACCGTTATTCGCACAAACTCTTCGAGAACCGGGTATAAAAAGCATGAAGGTACAGACAGGTACACTGACTGAGTACCGGTATAAAAGTTGGTGGTCCACTGTGCACTTAGATTTTTATACCCTATACTCGAAGAGTTAAATAAAATGTTCAAATTGCATACACTTCGACAACAACAGGAAATGCAGCGTCACGTAGCTCTTCTCTCCAGCTGGGTGGCAGTAGTAATTGAACCTGAGCTCGGCTTCCATGGGGCAAGGGGATTTCAAATGATCGTTGGATTGGTAACGCGAGTTTCTGCAGCTTCTCTGTATAAAATGGCCGCGTGTCATATAAAATTTTGACTAAACTGTGAGTCTTATGCATGTGAACTCCTGAAACTGGTAGTCCAGGACCTTGGCATTCCAATATGTAGAACTCAATTCCATAGCTCGTTGCCACGCCTAGTGACGGAGTAATAAAGGCGTCAAAATGTGAACAGTTTATGTAATAATACCGACTACTCCAGAGGGCCTCTCCTAAATCACACGTAATACATTGTGGCTCGGTTCTGTTGATAAAAAGTGGCGTAAAAGTAAAATAACGCTATAAAAAATAGATTTCATACTTTCTTGTATCATCATGTATTGGATCTTTTACAGTATATAAATGTCTTTGACCCGGTTTCTTGTCTTGAGTAGCCAAATAGTATACTAAATGATTTATTGTATCCCAACACAGTATTTTGATTACCTGAAATAAATTTTATTAGGCATTAGTAATTTAGGAAATGTAGATGGAACATATACTATACCTCATATCGACCATGAGAAATAACAGAAATTCTTTGTTGCGATATGGTTATATGTTTTATGTGCGTAAAATGTTCATGGCCAGATTCTTGAATACTCGCGAGTAATAAAAAGCTGTTGCCATCCGACGAAAAAATTGGGTGAGGAAATATATCTAACCACTCATCTTCGGGCGCACGTTCAGAGTGAATCTTAATATTTGTATTATACATTACATGTTTTAAAGCATTTTAACTTGTAAATAGGTTACTTTACTTACTTCTATACAGTTCCAATTTTGTAGCTTAGAACATGTGGTGATCACACTATAGTTTTGAGATCGTCCCATGTAGACCACAGATACTTGGAGATTGCTATCAGATACCCAACCTGCCGACGTTAGGTAATAGTCCCTTTTATTCAAATAAATAAAGATATTTGTCAATGTACAAATAATGATTCGCGAATGTGCAAGCTTACTGTCCATTAAGAGATTTTGGTGGTCTCAATTCCACATGTTCTATGGCACCAAAGTTGCTTATGTCGACAACCCATAACTGAACTTCTGGATTGACAGTGCCTGGCGTTGGATACCTAACATTTTTTGTTTCTGGAAAATAACTTCCTGCAGAATATCCGGATCCGGCAAACAAGGCTCCAGACGATAACCATGGATACGTCATCATTCCAACTTGCGTATCATTAAATAAAGCAAACATGAAATGGGTTCCATCAGCTGATGACCAAATTGCTTCCGGAATTGTAAATATTTCTTCTATAAAGGAAAATGTTAAAATATATATTAATTTCATGTATTTTCGGTTCCATATAGTTGTTTACACATACATATATACATTTATGTGTATAGTATTTATAGTAAAGGCTGAAAAGGCTAAAGGACCCAGTGTGCTTCAAGGAGATCGTTCTTATTTGTTTTATATACTTTTCAAACTGATTTAAATGTTCCTGAACTATTTTAATAAAAATATTTAATAAATACCTTGGTAAAGCCAATCAGGAACACCATTATAGATATTATTTTCACATCCTGAAGTTGTTATCCTAATGTCCTCTTCAGTTGAAGGCGATTGTCTTACAAATATATCATTGTCTGCTACAAATATTAGCGTAGTCGTATTGCCGAGCCATGCCGCATATTGAAGACGTGTTCTTTGAACCTTCAATGAGTCTTTTAATTTTACTGGCATGTGGTGATCATTTTCAACATCATAGATTGTGTAAAATGCAGTAAACGACTTCTGAAAAGTCTATAAAACAATTTTTATTGAATTATAAGCTTCAAGTTATTGTTATTTTAAATAATTTGCTTACTTTCTTTACATTATGTTTAAATAGCACATATTTAAGGTCATGAGAGCATTGATATCCACGTACATTCAATTGTCGAAGAGTGTGATTTGTTACTAAGATGTTTATTAAGTTCGTTGTTGTATCCAAAATGGCAAGCCCTCCATCATCAGCTTGAAATACATACTTTTGAGGAGTTACCCATGAGGGCTGTAATCTAGTTGGTGTTAATTCTCCTTGTAAGTATTCATCTAAAATCATTCTGCGGCCTGACCAATATAAAAGTTCATCCACATATCTAGAAAAAACACAAATACAGCAATCGAAATATATTGAGCAATGCTAGTAAAAATTAAGAACGCAAAAACTCACCCCAATAAATATATTGCAGTAATAATTCCAGCTATTACAAAACTAATCACGAGCAATGAAAATATTATACTTCGCCAGTTATGTCCTTCATCCAAATCTATGTCTTGATCTTCTTTCTGTTTCGAATCTTGCACCTGTAATGTTTCATCAGGTGGTAATCTCCATGATCCACCCCGATCTGCAGAAACATTTGTGTGCATTTTTTAAATATAATATCAGATCTTGAATCTGACGGAGTTTTAAAAACGCGATTTTGGGCAGGAAGCTCTTCAGAATTACAGATCTGGTTATCAAAAAATTGAACAATTTGAGACGATTCGACGACTTACAACTTATATGTCTATATTTACAACTGCCATTAATAACATGTTTCCGTCACCACCATTTCTTTTAACTCGAATGGACAAACCAAATTACTGAAATACAAAGGAAAAAGAATAAAGAATATTTAACTATTTTTTTAAAACATAATTTGAATTCAATCAACTAAATCAAACATTTTATTTACCTGTGTTAACTGTGATTTTTAATATATTTTATCAATAATTCCGTCATGTTTACAGGTAAGTGCCAAAGCAATAGTCAGGAAATCTACATCAAGATACAGTTGTGGAATCCATGCTGAATGATATGCAAAACATTTTTATAATTATAAAGTGATTCAGTATGTTAATCTAATTAACTATTCCACACATATGTTCAGCTCGCAAGACATCGAAAGGTCGATTGCTCTGTCTCATCCAAATTTAAATTCTCTGTAACGTAGTCCCAGCCAAACTTAGGAGGAGGAACGCTGTGAGTCGTTAATTCATTGATGTTCATACATACATATGTACAGGTGAGCTTATTAGCGACGGGGACTACAAACTTTTTATAGCACCAAAAGAAGGTAAAATTCGTATCGGCATACTACAAAGAATTCCTAGCACCTAAACACCTTTTTTCTCCCTAATTTTAGCGCATTGTCTGTGTTGCTGCTTCGCGAGCTCACACTGGCTGTCCGGGACGGTTCCGTGTCCTGTTCACCGTTCTCTTCCTCAGAGACAACTATGTTGAAATTCTTTGGGAGCCCGATTATTTGCCGCAAACTGGATGCAAAATTTGGTTGCTGTAACTTTTGTAGTCTCTGATATCCAAGACGGACGGACATACGGACATGCGGTTAAACTGTTTCCGGGTCGGAAGCGTTTCCCTCTGTGCGTTACATATGTATGTATGTAAATCCACTTTCGACCACAAATACAATATAACCTACATATTTACTCTTCGAGTACCGGGTATGAAAATTACATGTCGTCGTTTCATAAATATATTTAAAATAATTGCACATACTTACTTGTAATGTATTTATATGCATGCATATCGTATTTGCACATACATACATATGTATGTACTATGTATATGTTTCAAAGTTAAGGCACTCTACGTGTGAGACTGTTTGTGACTTTCTCGTTAAGCACTGCACAAACACCATTGACCCATAGAGAGTATGCAATTGTATATTTAAAGATTTATACATGTATGTATGTACATATGTATGAATGAACATATATTTTTGGAAGACGAAATTCACTTCAAAATCCGAAACTTGACGAATTAAATATGTTTTTATACAAACAATTCATAAATTTTGTAGCTATGCGCAGATAAATATTTTAACATATTTTAAAATACACAATTTACTCGTACATAATTATGTATGTAATTGTCCTTTTCACATTTTTTGTTCACAACATTTTATCATCACATTACGCGAAACTGATTTGATTATTACACTCGGATTGACTCATTTTCTTATTTATTCTTATTTGATAAATAGTCTAAATAACGTTATGGTACATTAAGTGTTGGAAAAAATAAAAGATAGTTGACAAGGGATAGCGTGAAACTTTAAATAACAGTAATTCATATGCACACACACCCATGAATATACATATATGTACATACACACATGTGTATGTAAGCTCGTAACAACATCGAAATAGGGGTGCCAACTTTAATGTGATTTTTCTCCGTGTTTTAAGTTTGTTTTATAGGGATTCTGTTATAATTAAACTTTTAAAATGCACATTTGATACTTTGTGCTTTATTTAATTGTATACTTAAATGAAAAGGTATACAACTGTCAACTTATTCTGAGGCACATTCTGATTTTCTCTCCTACTAAGAACATGCTCTTTCTTTGAAAAAAAGGGTGGTTTACATTGTTACAAACATAAAGATGTATGTAAATACCTACATACACTAATGAACGTTATATCCATGCTGCAAACCATCAGGTGTACATATTTGAATAAATTCGAATTTGGAAGGGAAATAACTGTCGGTTCAAGCAGAAATCATGGCGGTGCGTATTATCTTATTCAAAATGAATATTTTTCATTTTTTTCCCATGCACGTCAGCTGCATTTCCAAGCCAGCATTTCCATCGCTTGCAAACCGGCGATTATTGTGTACAGTTGGTTTCTTCAATGGAGCAACACAAGGTTTTGAGCAAAGTAAGTAACTACTGAAAGTACTACCCAGATAGCCAGAATGTCTTCAAAGGAAATACCTACTATTGGTGTGATTCTTCTGTTGCCTCATCCATTTCTTTTACCGTTGTCACCTGTCATGGATCATTGGACCTCTCAGAATTGGCGGACGCCTGAAGAACTCTTCTTTGATGCGTAGAAGAGCCCAAATAATACAAATTAATTGCGAAAGGCTTTTCCAGAAGAAAAAGTTGTACCAAAAGCAAGACCTTTCCATTCGAAAACTATTTTAAAAACGCCTCGGGTACATCCTTCTCTCGAAATAAAAAATAATGTTGACATTAGATAAGAGATTTTTCCAAGAAAATTCTTGAACTGAAAATCGGCAATATTTAAATAAAATAATCTAGTTATATGGTTACAATTGTTTATTTATAAAGGATTGTTAATGAAGAAGTGGTGAAGTTTCTCAGTCAGGTTGTTCTTGTACTTGATTGGTTTCTGCATCTGGCTGCCATCTGTCAGAGTCTTTGCATTTATGGGTGGAGAAGAATTTGTGAAAGAAGCAGCAGCAGATAATTATCTTTCTAGTGTTTTTGATACTGTTAATACGCCATTATTCTTTGTCACATCTTCAAAAAATTCCCACTGTTCCACCGTGTTTCGTGTAGCTAGTAATTTAAAACATATATCGACCACTCGATACTTGTAAGTTATCGGAAGTTTTATACGGTGATTTAAAAGTACCTGCGACTGAAGGTATTCAGAAAATATCATTTATTGCCCATCTCTAAAGCACCACCGCACAATAATAAATAAATAGTTGGAATACAAAATGATTCCAAAATCCTTTGAGGAAATTTCCATTATCCGAGATCTTGACAGGTAAGAGACTAACTTGAAGTGTCAAAAGTTCTACTGACAGTTGTTATTTCAGTCGATATTTCGGATGTCTTGACTTATCTGATCCTAAAAATTTGGAAATAAAATCCGTAGTTCAGAAAACTGTAACTACCATACAAGATGATATTGCCTTTTATATCTCTAAAAATATGATTGTTACACATGAATTAACATCAAAAGTGTTTGACAATAACTCAACAGGAAACACTCCCCCCGATGATAAAAAATTGCATGATGTGGAAAATAAAGTCATAGGGTTTTTTGAAGAGGAAACATTGGCTAAGAACCAATTTAAAAACGCCCTCTGTAAACTTGGTCACTTGCATCTTCTGCTTGGTGAATATTCAGAAGGTACGTAAGCATTTGCAACCTTATTAGTGTTAATATTAATAGTGTGTTCGGCTAAGCGCCGCCCGATGATAGCTTAAAAAGAAGCCGATATCTTAATCTGGTTTTAAATGATGCATCCGCTGCATCGAATAAGTGTTCCAATATTAAAATAGAACAAAAAATCAACAACGAAATTTAATTGACCATAATACATTTTTTTAAATATCCCAAAGGTGATTAGTGAGATTTAGGTCTGATATTCCAATGGACAATTTCATCATGGCAATTGCTTGACCAAGAAATAGTTATTTTATGAAAATAAAATAAAATTTACTTGGAATTACTTGGAATGTTCCGTTAGAACGGTGAAAAAAAGACGGATTTTTACCTCTTGGCGACCTCTATAGAACTAGAATTTGCCACCAGAATTCTAGATTAGTTAGCTTTCAATTAATCAATTAAGCGAATATAATTACTCAAAAAACTTAAGCTTCATTGTAAAGAGATTAAGTATTTTTAATCGTTTCAGCTCTATCGGCGTACCAAAAATATTTAAGATTCAATCGGAATAATTATTGGAAAAATCATGAATTTATATATGGAATAGGTATTGCTTACTTTAAGCTAAGGTGCTTCAAATGGTAAGTAAAAATTCATTTATTTTTTTCTTTCTTGTACTTAGATTTGTACGGATTTAGAACGCAAACGATTCCCAAGGAATTCGAGCATATTTATACGATCTTCAAGTAGCTCGGTTATCCTTGTGGCTATACTAGAAAACTAAGGAATTGGTAAAATAACTAATGTAATACTGTGAAAGCTTGCATTCGACCACCATCAAAGGGACTACCTATAGGTAAACCACACCACGGTGGTGTGGAAAAAAATTGCAAAGATACAATATACTTTTACATATCTACTATTGAAGATATCAGCGAGCGAAGACCCCGGGGGCTTGCTAGTCAGCATAGTCTTAGTCAAGCCCATTAAATCGCCTTTGTATTAATCAAACATGTTGAAAATTCACAGCTAAAAGTAAGACAATCAGGGGTACCGCAGAAATGGCAGAAACCCAGCCTTTGCTGCCTTTTGAACAGAAAATTTCCAAAGGAACAGCGTATCTCTTCAAAGCCCCGCCAAAGCCAGTTCTGTTTAGTTAACTCAATGAACAATAAACCCTACTCTTATATTTGAAGGTGGTAACACTTGCATAGTTTTCAACCCTTAGTCAAGCTTAGTTCGAATTCGGTTAACGAAAATGATAAACAAGGCGATTCCTGTGACACCTCTTAATGTTATATTTATTTTGTGTTTCATATCTGTCAAAATATTTCACCGTTCCCCCAAATGAACTGTGCGGGAAAAGGTTTTTAGACTGTGATACCAGAAATGTTCGATTAATTACGAAAATGTATTCTTGTCATTCTTTGTTATCGAAATCTTTGCATCACTCGTTTGTTTAACTTGTTTACAAAAAAAAATATTAGCAATATAAAGTGAAAACGAAGTTCTTAAGCAATATTTGGATTTATCACATTTATACTGTGAATACTATAAAAGTGCGAATATGATAGTTCGGAAAAATTAAAGTCCTATACACTTTGTAGGTATGTTCAAACAATCGTGAATGTTTGTCTGCTAAAATGGAATGTCAGTTATGTTTTATAAACGAAAAAGACCCAATTATTTAGTTGCTTAAACATTGCATATTAGTAAGCCATCTCAGGGATATGCATGCAGACATTAACGTGAATGTATATTTACTTGTGATTTTATGTATATACATACATATTTACATACATATATGTATGCATATGCACATGCACATGCATGCACTTATATATGTACATACATATGTACGTTCAAGTTATGTTCATTTTATCATTCGTGCAAAAAAATGTTTGTTTTTAAACTTGCTGATTGTACTTTGATTTGGAATATACATTGTATGTAAGTATATATTCAGACTTCTAACCGACATGTGTATGTACATATGTATGAAAATTATGTGTGATATACAGGGTGTCTGAGTAAATTTTGGGGTTACTGCACGCACATTCGTGCACCCGTTTCAGTTAAGTAACTAAAGTTTAGTTCGATCGCCCATAACTATAACGGTTAAGATAAACATAACCAGAGAATTGCATATCAAAGATCAACACAAATATTGATCCACCAAACAAGCAGTGCAATCAGTTTGCAAGGATTACTTCGATTACATTTTTGGTTGGCATTGCGCCATACATGCTCGATGGAACTTAAATCAATTAACTAGAGTGGAGTTATCAGATGATTAAAGGGGTATGGTAGTATGTGAGCCTGATTTGATCAAAAAATTATGAATTTTTCTCTGTCAAATGTCACTAAATGGCACTTTTTGTCACTCGTCCAGATCCAGCTCCAGCTCTTCTATATATTACCAAACCACTGTTTATTGAATTATCGCAAGATCGATCAATCCGAAATATGTCATATTTGTCCTGTCTGCAAGCAGCATTTTTTTCTAATTTATTAAAACAATTATTTTACTTCTTATAGGGCAATTAAATCATTTCAAGAGCTTTTATACTTAAATCCCAACTTCACATGTGCTAATGATGTTCATTTACGATTGGGTTTTATGCTGAAGCATTGCGGTGAATATCACATTGCCTTAAAACATTTACAATTGGCTCTGCTCTATACGTATCCGTCGACTTTTTCTGAACTGCATGGTAAGGGATGCACTTTTATAAACTGTTTTTGTGCATTATTTAAATTCTTAAAGAGAAGAGGAAGAGAGTCTATCGATTCTAAACCCTTTTTCTTTATAAAAATAACAATATTTATCTAATTTAAACCCAGCGGCAAAAAAAGCACTTAGAGTATATATAGTTTCGATAGGCAT